TAATATGTACATATACATATGCATGTATATACATTGTGTATGTCGATTCCGCCTGACTTATGAATGAAAGTGAACGATTGCAAGGATCAACCCCTGATTTTGTGCATCATTATTTGCATGAGCGCATCCGAAGTGGTCATAGCGGGCTAACCGCATTTCAATTTGTGCTAATCGCATCTGAAAGATAATAAATGGAGCTACCTGAAAACAAATGTATTACAATGCTTCAAACACGCGCATTGTCTTTTTGCCTGCGGTAGGCTTGCTGGTTTTCATTTGTGGTCTTAGCTGAGGGTAACGCCCATTAAAGTAACAATAATGCCTCAATGATTTTTTAAATTGAATAAGATATCCATATGCTTTACCAGAATTAGGGCATACTTTTGCTGTGCTGTGCTGTGTTGTGCAAGGATAACAAGGATATGTAGACCGCTTATGCATCGGAAAGAGATAGCGCACGCTTAGGCTAATTAGAGCAATGCAATGGCGGCGGCACTCTTAACGTGTCTCTTGCAGGATCCTTAAAAAGGCACTGCATTTGCCAAGGTCGTTTTAGTTCACTTTAATTTGCAAACGCGTCGGGTTCAAAGAAATTTTCTCCTCTTACTCGAGTTTTTCACAACGAGCCGCATGTGAAAATGAGCGATTTTAGCATTGACTATATACTAAATCGTGCCGGCGAAAGATATATCGGCACCAATGCTTCTATCTGCATTGCGGACCGTATTAAATTAGAGCAGCAGCATCGTTACCAACAGGAAGCTTTCAACAATTACAATTCTGTTGCAGCTATGGAAATGGCCAGTATTGCTGCAGCCGGTGGAGTAGACGCAACGATCGCTGGCTTCAACAATGCAAGTGTCGAGCAAATACCGATGTTCGATTGGCTGCACTACACTCGCTACCATCCGCCGCGTTTGCCACGTAAGTGGCGCACTAAATCATTCCTAGTTAGTATCATAAAATGTGGTCTTCTATTATTTCTATAGGCAACTTGCGTCAACCGCCCGTCAAACGCACGCCCGGCCGTCTGCCTCGCATCCCATTTACACCCACACAATTGGAGGCTTTGGAAAATGCCTATCGCACGTCTAACTACTTGAGCGCCGAGGAGGCCAATCAGTTGGCTGAGTCGCTGGAGTTGACGAATACGCGCGTCAAAATTTGGTTTCAAAATAGGCGCGCCCGTCAGCGGCGCGAGAAGCGCGAAACGGAGGAGAGCTATGATTCGACAATTTCATCGAATGCTTCTAGCCCAGAACCAAATATGGATGAGCTAGTACTTCAGCGTGGCGTTGGATGCTTGAAATAGATTTCAATAGTCTAGAATTCGCTGCCAACTAAGAAGACATTTATGTACATACACATTTCAGGCGTCCGTCCCGGCATGCTGGAAAGCAAGATACGTTGACTATATACATACATTAGTATACACACTATATATTATATACTTACATAAGTTAGTAAATATGGCTGTGATTATTTCCTAAATACGAAAGGAATTTATTGTTAGAGGAATTTATATTTAATATTGAAAACTAAGTTGCTATTATTAATCTTCGCCCGCCTATTGTGAATTCTCTTTTTACCAAACCAAATTAGTATGGAACCGCCCTTGAGGTACCACCCTTCCGATAAAAAGAAGAATTATCGAAATCGGTTAACGTGGTCCGGAGTAATGCAGTAACATACATAAAAAAATATATTGTGACGAATTGATAACCTCCTCCTTTTTTGAAGTCGGTTAAAAACTTAACATATGTATATGTACAAAAAATCTTGCGTTTTCGGAAAAATTCAAATAAATCTCTGACTAACATTGAGTTATTTGCTAAAGCACTAGAGTAAACTGTGCCAAATTTCCTAGATATTTCGCATCTTGAGATACTAATTTTGGCTATAAGAATAGTTTAATTAGCGCTCAACATATTTTATTTTTAAGAGTGAAGAAATATAAAAAATTACATAGAGTTTACACCAGGGGCGGAAATAATAAATGTCATCCGATTCTAACGAAAGTTCATGAACACAATATTTTTTGTTTCATTTGGTATATGTAGTATGGCGACAGTAGGAAGCTGACGTCATAATGGACCCTCTGTAATTTACGTGCGGCTTTTGGGTAGGTCGGGCTCGGTTTTTTCAAACTCTGCTTTGCACCACCTTCAGCTATAAACAAAATTTGTACAAAATTTTATTTTAACAGCTCGCCCGTAAATAACGAGCTCATTAACTTCACCAAATATGCAGAAATCCGCAGAAAGACGCTTAACGTACCATTTAAATTATGCAAGTTTTAAAGCACAGATAAATTTGTCCCTTAAAAAACTTACATTTTGCCGACAGTACGTCTTTCGTACATCTATACCCAGTAGGAATGTAATAAGGAAATAATCCCGGGATTTTCGGGATTTTTAATTTGCGTTGGTGGCAATAATAGAATCTCCTTTTGTTGGCCAGTGTTGGCTATATTTCTTTTTTTTTATTTAATAATCAATATGTTTTTATAAATGTCCAGCTCATTATACATACATATAACACTGTGCGATAGTCAATTTTACGCAAAAAATAATATATTCGCGAAACCATGGACCAAATATAGTAAAATTGCGTTTTTAGTTTTTTATTCTTTCACTTTTCTTTCATTCACTATTTCAAAAATGTTTTAAAAAATTCAGTAAAATGATCTTAGAGAAAAAGTATGGGTACCAAATTAAAGAGAAAATTCTGTAAAATTTAAAAAGATTCAATTTTTTTGTGTATAAGGACGGGTAAGTATTGAAAATTTCCGTTTAAAATTTTATCCTTGTGAATATCCTTGAAATTCTGCAATATATATATTAATATTTGAAAAAATTATATCGATGGTCCTCTGCAATAACGATATAATTATAAAAAAAAAAAAATCCCATACTACTGTTAAGTGGCTCATGTGTCTAATCCTTACTAATGTACGTAGTAAGGGGTTACACCCGAGCGCACTTGTTAATTTTGTTCACATAACGGTTGTTTGTAACAGCCAAAACAAATCGAGATAGATATAGACAAATGTATACATAAATGCTCAGAATGAATAGAGAAGTCGATTAAGCCATGTCTGTCCGTCCGTCCGTGTACACGATAGCTCGAGCAAAAATCCAAGGTAGGTTGGTATTGAAAATGGGCGAAATCGCCCACTTCCCATATAACGGTAATTTCCAGAAATACGAAAACTGCGATATTTTAGTAACTACTGAAGATAATTCACTCAAAATTGATATTTACAATAATTTTTAGACGAAAAGTAAAAATATTATAAATTGTTGGAAAATGGGCGTAGCCACGCCCACTTATGGTTACATATGTCTATCTGGGTAACTGCTGCACCAATTTCTTCCAAACTTGGCACAAATCGCCGAAAATTTCTAAAATCGCTCAATAACCACGCCTACATCCCATATAACGGTAATTCAGAGAAATACAAAATCTTCGATAAATCAGTAAATATTAAAGCTAATTTATTCAAAATTGAAGCTTGCAACAATTCTTTACCACGAAATACGTTTATGCTAAAATTTGGGAAAATGGGCGTGGCACCGCCAACTTATTATCACATATATATATATCGGTAACCGTTCTACCGATTTGTACCAAACTCGGTATTTTTTTTGTGCTTGCCACATAAAAGCAAAACGTTGAAAATTATTGAAATCGGGCTAAAATAACGGCCGCTTCTCATATAACGGTAAATTTCAGAAATGCTTGAAACTTCAATATTTCGAAATTGAAGGACGCTAATTTACTCAAAATTGATACACCCCGGCTTACCATCTAGCGGTATGTTTCGGAAAGGTGAAAAAAACATTTATTTAATATTTGCGCCGGGTATTTAATGTTCGGCTCCGCCCGAACTTAGACTTTCTTACTTGTTGGATTTCGAATTGTTAAGGACTTAAAGAAACTCGATAACATCCTCGAATTTCGTCTTTCTAACTTTATCAAGTTTAAAAAATTACCAATTCGACCTTGTGAACCCAAAAAATTTTAATTTTTCTAAATTCTAAAGAAATTTCATCTTTCATTTGGTTCCCATATTTTTATTTTACATTCTATTGAATTTTTAAAAAAATTTTTGGAATTAATCATATCTTTGAAATTACAAAGTCCTTTAAAATAAATCCTGGCATTAGAGAAAAAAAACTAAAAACGCAAAGTATTATTAACGTATAACGTATTAACGTACAGCGTATACATTTAATTACTGGCTTTTGTGTTGTTACTTATGAAATAATTTTCACTTTAAATAAAAAAGTAGCTTTCAAACCCATTTATTTATTACTTATTTTATTGATTGGATTGCTTCTCAAAAAATATTGAAGCATTTTTTTTCGATTTAAGTTATTGAAAAATAATGAATATCTAAATCACGGGACCTCGGGATCGCAAAAAGCGAAAAAATTAACATCCCTAATAGCCAGTGACAAAATATAATGTATGGTCATCGAAAAAATAATCAGTAAAACAGCGATGTCCTAGGAAAAGTGGGGCATTCAATTTTGCATTACCTAGCATCGAGGAATGAATGTGATTTAATATGAATTTTTTGGGACTTTTTGGATACATTCGAATGCTGATTATTAATAAATGCATTACATTATTTATCACGCACGGAATGCATTACTACGGGCCTGTTCGAGGCACGTAATAAAAGCGGCATTACCGCCGCACTGATGAAAATTTGCAACAATGTTGCAATTGCCAAACTGATAATATCTTGCTAGAAATTCACACACAACGTGATACATTAATAATTCGCGCAACACTGCGGTTGTGATTGCAACCAGGATGCCGTTTGGATCTAAATAGATCCAATTGGAGGCATTTTTTGACGAATTTTTTCGAGATACTTATTTTTTCCAATCAGTATATGTAAATGTGGATACTTTTTTAAATAGGCCAAAATTTTATATTTTCTATAAAGTTGTTTGTTTTCTCCCAAAAAGCTATTTTCATTAAAGGTGGTAGAAAGCATTAGGTTTTCTAAATGTAAATTAAAAATCACTATTTAAGCGTGAAATTGGAGCATGTTATTTTTTGTGAACGAAGCAATGAACATATGAAGAGATCTCACCAAAGTAGTGTAAAGCGCAATTCTTTTATATAACTAAAAAGGATGCTTAACCAAGATCTTAATATACATATAAAGATATATACTCTTTCTGTAGTAATCTCTTTCATATCACATATTTTCATTTGTTAATTTAAAAAGAAAGATGATTTCAATGTAGTTTAAAATACACTGTTTAAAAAAGTTAAATTTTAAGGAAATTTATATGAATTTTACTGAAAAGACTTTAAATACATTCTAAAATTTTTTTGTTTATTTGCGCATATTAAGAGAGATAACCTCTTAAAGTTTGAAAATTTGTACACCGTGTATAATAAAATTAAACACTGCCTGTTTACTTTACATGCCAAATTTGTCGCGAAGAGCAAAATTACTCACAAAATGTTTAAAATAGAGTAAATGTGAGCGCCTAATGTTTATTATTTGTAGGAAATGTATTTTTAATTTGAAAAATGTGTATATTTTAAAGATCTCAAGTTCAAAATCAAATCTTGAACATCTTATACGTACATATATTTATACAGACTCCTGTTACTACTTTTCAGTAGTATATTAAATGTACTTTTTAGAGCGTACAGGTGCAAATGTAACATATTAATTACTATTTATTATACTTACTTTGCAAAATAATTATGCCCAAAAAAAGTTATCTATAAACTGAAATTACAAATTTTTGATTTTATGAAAAAAAAATATATATACACGTACTCCAAGTTCTCAGGATAGGTTAACTTATGTATATTTCTAGAAAATGTTTGGTTTTCTTACAACTTATGAAATGGATACGTAAAAAAAGAAAATTGGATACATTTGGATACATTTTGGGCTTGCGCGGTGATACATTTTCTTGCGACGGCGTGGCAAAACTGATTGTAACTCGAACAAGCCCTACTTTTCCCACTGGGTAGGTATTCCGGCTGTCGCTGTGGTGTAGTGGTTAAAAACAAAAGAAAATAAAAATTTGTAATTTATAGTTAAAACTGTAAATATTGGAAGGTAAAATCATTCTCTCAATTCGTCGGCCATGATTTTTTTTCTTTGACGTTTGCAAGCATTTTAAAATCATATAAAATTGAAAAAAAAAAAAATGAAATTGTTTTAAAATTATGTTGCTGTCAAACGTCAGACTGCCTCTCAATGATTTTACCTTGTAATGTTTTTATCATGCTGTGAACTAAATAGAAGGAGTTCGAATGCAACAACAA